TCTTGTTGGCTCGATCATGCACAAAAACTTGGACTGGTACAAAATGAGCTGACCTCACTAGACAAGGTATCTAAACCAGGACAGGCTTAAGTTGCCAGACCAAACCCTTTTGAACAAAAGGGCTGGCTGTGATTAACATCAATATGTATTTATGTACTGTTTTTTTAGGCATGTGTAATTTCATGTAGCACTTGTATTAAGCTTGTATTTTATTGTATTTGATACAAAGGCATTTTGCTGTTTGTGTGTGTAAGGTGGCCAGTTTTGAACACATTAGCACTTTTAAAAATGTTACTTCATATGCGCTTACCAAGTACATATATGCTGGCATATATTAAGTAAATTATGTGTATAGTTTCAGCATTTTTTTTCACAAAATTTAATTTATTCATCAGGTACAAAAGGAAAAAATGCAATATGATGTGGGCACCATTTTCTGATATAATCATTTTTTTTCCATTTATACACAATTGTAAAGTTAAAGTATATGTGCATGTTTAAAGACTTACATTATATAACATTAACAGGATATGCACTGTGATACAAAATCGAACATTTTCCAAAATATTGCTCACTTCACATCAACTTCATCTATAATAGTTTGATGCTTATTGTTGATAGGGTTATTCCATTACTGAATATACATAAATAGTGCTTTTTTAATGGCATGCATACATTGTCATCAACTTTTTGTAAACAAATGAGATATATTAAAAGGAATAAACTATATGAAAATAACAGTGAGTTCAAAAAGAATGGGATTTTTTAACATAAAGCTACCTGTCCGGTTACCTGATAATTATTTTTTATCTTTTGTTCTTGAAAGACTGTGAAGAAAAAAAAATAAAAATTTAAACCCACACTGCAATTAAAATTCAGCATCGTGGTGTGGCAATCCCTATTAAGCCCAAATCAATCACAAACATGGCAAGATTAAATACATTTCAGAAATATTATTGCTTGCTCTTATCATTACTGGCCAGTGTATATGTCCCAATACCCCTTAAAAATCAATTAATGAAATTGCACTTTGTTATTATGTTTCGAAAAAAAATAAATCTCAACCCCTTCAGATGATGAATGCATTTAACACAAAAGAGATCATAGGTAATTCTTTATTCATAAATTATTAAAACAATAGAAAAATAAGATAACAATTTGCATGTTAATATTTTTATGTATGTTGAGATAACGTTTGGAATGAAACTGGCTCTAATATGGAACCTTATGTTTTGAAATTATAGAGATTGAGACCCCAGCAGTTTTTAAACATCAATTCACCTGAATGTCTTGTGATATGGTCGAAACACTGATGTCAGTTCAAAACAAAAAAATCCAGTAGTAAAGCCCATTTCGTTTCCAACTTTATCTTGGCATATTTTTATTTAAAAAATTATCACTTTTTTATTTCTATAAATGATTTTATATTAATACTGTTTTTGATCAATCCGTGGATGTTTAACATCAAACTATTTCACTTTTTTTATAAATAAGCAGGTCTCCAGGTCCTATAAATATTAGTAGAAACCATAGAAAGGAAAATTTCCACAGTAACAAATTACTCAATTGCATTTCACGTGATCCACAAAATTTTAACATCTGGTGTATCCATCTTCCCTCCCACCTCTGTAAAAATGGCACCGTTTTACTCTTAAAGTCAATTTTTTGTAGAAGTGGTTTACATGCGTTACTGGGAATCCACGCTCCACCGATACTCGGTTCGTATGTACCTTTAATTCATGAGCAAGTAAAGGATCCAGCCCCATGTTTCTGCTTTATCACATGAAATTTGTCAGTCACTGCTCCTCCCTGAAAGCAGAAAATAGGACACAATTTAGTTTTAACCCGATTTGGTTTTGATAAGGACAAGGTGAATAATTATGTTTTTTTCATTTTACTACACTTGTTAACTCACTTATTCATTAAATTATTCATTTTGTGTGACAGGGTGCAGTTAAATACACTAATTTCTTATATAAAATGTACATGATATTATATAAAATGGGGCCTTCTCAACTATTTTTTTTTTACTGATATACTTCTTGGTACAGCAATAATTACTGGTAAGTCATAATTACAGAAATAACTTGGATATATGTAGCTATTGGAAGGAAAGTTAAATTGAAAATGTGAGAAAAAAGACCAAAAGCAACATGCATAGACAACATAAAAGAATGGACTAATCAAAAATATAGTGAAAGTTTAATATGGCACAAAATCCAGAGGTATGGCGATCCATGACAGTCAACCTGCTGAGTGGATGGTGTTCATAGATAGACAGATAGAATACAGCTTACCTGGTCATCTGACACCTGCTCAAAATACAAGTGAGTAGCATTGGTAATAGTCATCCTGGTGTAGCCATAGTCGCTGCTGCGGAAGGCACTCCAATATGGCGGAGGCTTGAACGGGTCGTGTTTTTCCTTGCAGCCCTTATAGGAAAGGAGAGAGGGTAAAGGACTTAAAATGAGAAGAGAGACAAAGAAGAAGGATTTTATTTTGATTTTAATTAAAAAAATTTTGAACACTGCCACCCATGGTTTCAACCTTCTTTTTAGTTTGGTTTAAAAAACAGTTTAAATCAAAGAAATACCAAGCTAGTCCTCTGGTCAGAGTATAGTACTGATGAAACATTTTATAACACTGAACAGGTTTCAAAAGCATTCAAAGTAACTAATTTTCTAGGTAAACACACAGGTAAGACAAGTACAGATGTACTAAATTTGAAAAGCTTCTGTTACAAGTACAGGGAGCCAGAGCCAGCACCACTACTTTCAAACTTAATATATATGTCAGTTATTTAAGGTGAAATATTTAATTCAGAGAAGTTCCTCACCGCAGATCCAGTAATTATGTGAACAGGTGCCCCAGGGTTAGTGTATGGGTAGGCATTGCTGCCATTACACACCTACAAGGTAATCATATATCAATTAACAAAATTTGTCTGTACAACTCTTTTATATCAATATACATGTACATAACATTATACATATCCACAACAGAAATATATTTTTAACAAACATATGATGTATTGATTCAAAGTAAAACGAAACACCTTCTGAGGTGCTACCTTTATAGCATTTGTCAAAAATATCACAGATTCATGACAACAAATGAAAGTAAAATGTTCATAAGCTCTTAAAAATAAAGTATTATGACCCTTTTCATAGGAATATAACCTCCTTTTATGGATCTGACCATATAATGCATTTATTTCGGCCTTTTTTCCCTACCTTCATGTTGTATATAGGCCAAAGTCTTTCATATATGTGCTCATGGGCCCAGAGCATCAGGTCTACCCCAGACTTGTAAAAAAGGCCTTCTAAGGCTGTTCTTATCTGGAAAATGAGGTTAGTGTATAGGTTTATCATGAAATAGCAGCTTTTGAAGATCAGTCACAATTAGCTTTTGAAGATCAGTCACAATTAGCCTTTGAAGATCAGCCACAATATCACAGCAAATTTGACTGTCATACAGCAGCCTTCATCACAGTAATGTCAATGAAATTATAGTGTTTATATATTGCTGCCAGATGGACTATATGCACTCTATATTTTTCAAAGGTGTAACTCATGCCTGTCACATGCCAAGTGTTATAAAAACTAACAACATCATCTGATCCTTATAAATAACCAATACGGATAGCATTCAAGCTCACCCTACTGATGGAGAAAGTGCAGTCATCATAGTCATTGGTGGAGCAATACATGGGTCTGTGAGCCATGGTGATTAGCCAGGGTCTCTCTGCTCTGTTCTCTGGTTTGTTGGCTTCCTGTAAGGCAAATGCATAAGGTTATGACTCGATCTGTTCAATGGGATAAATTACCAATCTTTCCGGCGGCACATAATTTTGTTATCATTAAAAATTCTATGTCTATCTAGTATTTGCGGTGCTGCAACTGCACTGAATAGAATTACAGGGTAGCACTTTTGTTGCAACCACTTCACAGGAATGATCTCATTTAAGAACTTACGACTTGAAAAAATAAAGTATCTGTAATATTCATGATTTCCTCCATTGAAAGACTGGGTCTTTGCTCCTCATACTGGGTAAATTACTTAAGAGGTTCAGCATTTTGACTTCTGTCAGATGTAAAATATGGCCTCCTTGTGACCTGTCTATGCAAGCACTCACCTGTAGTTCTCTCTCCAGCCAGCGGTATTGGTTCAGCGCCATGTGAAAACCATACTTTAAATAAAAGTAAACTTCTGTGGAAAACCCTATTATATGAGCCTTGCCAAGTTTCAGACTGAAAGAATACAGAAGTGATAAAAGTTATATAACTCAGAGACACGTTTTAATTAGACGATTCAGAGGAAAAAAAAAACTGAAAGAAAACACCATAAGTTACCCCATTTCTTGTTTCAGACAGCCACCGAATTTTGCAGCTTATGAATTCATTCCCTAATGCCAGGCCTTCTGAAGTAAAAATTCCACATTCACTTATTATTTTGCAAAAGCTCAAAGCCAATAAAATCCTTAAATTATCAAATTACTGATAATTGTAGACTTTCAGAATTACATTTTATCAAATGTGCACTGAAAAATTATCAAATAAATGATCCAATATAACTTGAACATTAAAAATAATACTTCAGTATTAAAAATTATGAAAAAATACCCACCTGTAAAACAAGCTCTCTCCATCTCCACCTGCCCGAGGCATGCTGAATCTATTCCTGTAGTTGGAGAAATTACTGAAATGAAATAAAACAGGGACACACACTAATTACAACATTGCACAAAAATTTTCATTACAGACATTCTATTAGACTTGATCTATTTGGGTGAAAAAATTTAAATAAGATTTCACAAAACAACAACAAAAAATCCCTTTACCGTTGTGATACTGACGATTTATAGTCATAGTTACATTATCATGCAGATAAAATAGCAGAGCTTCCAGTGACCAGTAGAAGTATTTGTCACAAAGGCACTATGTTGGCATACCCATCATTAAATGACAAACACCTGTAGAAGTAAATACAGGAACACAGAGTATGTAATTTGTGATTATATACTTACTATGGACTCTCGTGGTTTCCTACTGTCACCATGTAAGGTATGTATGCAGCTACCGACTCTATCTGACGCATGAATTCATCACCAACTCTGGCGTTATCCTGCAAAATCAGAGACACATACCCACTTCAGTTACAAACCCTTAAATTCAGGGTTCAAATGTTGTTGGGATGTTAATATATGTAGCTATATGGTCTATACCACATTACACTATGGGCAGAGCTGACGTTTTTTTACATTTCAAAATGTGTAATATGTAGAGATCTACTGTTTAATGCAAACTCCCCTAAGCTGCAGATCCAAATTGTGTGCCATACATTGTATTTTCATTTTCAAACCATATGTGCAGACTCATCCGACTGTCAGAAACAAGAATGTTCCAAGACTACAAGGAAAATGATTTCCGATTTTTACAATTGGCTAAATAAACTCTTATCTAATCTTATCTTACACCTTTTTACTTACCGAGTCCATGTCATATGCAAAGTCACCTAAAATTCAAAAATAGATAAATAAATTTAAAAATATTTAAAAACATGTCATAGTCACAACTAATTCTATGCATCATTAATCTAATCAGTTAAAATGTTCAGTTTTCAAAAATTAACATTATCTTCAAATATTGCCATTATTTTTTTTCTTTTGCACAAAATTAAGTGCAGCATTATTCATAGAGACATATGTGTTAAAGGTATCAGTTTGTCAAATACACTGTATTAAAAAAGGCTAATTATTTTGAAAAATGTTTATAATTTTTGTTCTGCTAGTAAGAAAAAATTTAATTTGGTCAAAATTTCAAGAAAGCAGAAAGTAAGCCCCAATATACCACTAGTCCATATACAGATACTTTACCTCAACAAAACCATAAAATAATGCTTTAAAACTTTCCCTCTACAATACCATGCAATACAATACCCGAAAATAAAATAATCTTTCAAAAACTCACCAAAATGAAAAATAGCATCGTACATTCCTTACTGCTTTTTCTGCTGTAATCAATACATACAAACTTTAACTCAACAATACCAGAAAATATTTTCCTATAACTTTCCCAGTCAACAATATGAAAAATAGCATCGTACCTTCCTCTCTGTTTCCTGCTGTAATCAACACATACATGTACATACTTTAAATCAGCAATACCAGAAAATATTTTTTTCTATAACTTACCAATATGAAAAATAGCATCGTACATTCTTTTCTGTGTTTCCTGCTGTAGTCTGGCCAGAGACTGTGGGTTTTCATTGCCCATGTCTCCATATACCGCCACCCTGGGGATCCAGGCTGGGTCCGTCCTCATTGCTGTGAAGGTAAAGAGACTGCTCCAGCCATATTGACTGCCGCAGTGGTACACTAAGAAAAAAGAAAAAGTTATGAATATATTTTACAGGCACCCTGGGGCCCCAGGCAAATTGGTTCACTTAGCATTTGTAGGAGTTCCATTAAATTTTTTTATTATTTTTTAAACATGAATTGCTATTCAACAACTGTGAACATTACACTTATTGCTATCATTTTGCAGCATGATTACTGATCACAACAATATTTTATCTAATTTTTCAATATTTAGATCTATTGTATTATTTCTCTTATATTTCTCTTATTTTTCAAAAAAATAAATAAATAAATAGATAAAATATATAAACTATGTGCTACAACCCTAACTGGATTAATATTTCTCAAATTTTCAAAAAAAATTTTTTTTTATTTGCTACAGTCCTTACTGTATTTCTGTCCTGGTTTCAGTCCAGTTACTGTCACGCGATGAATGTACAATTTCCTGTGTTCAGAACCGCCATCTTGGAACATTGTCTCGCTGCCTTTAGCAGCATTCTCCAGGCTCCTGATCCCATATTCCACTAGAGAAGAGTTTGTCTGAGACAAAGTGACCCATGTCACAACCATCTGATCTGGAGACTCTGTAAAATAAATAAATAAATAGTTTCATATTAAAGAGGGAAATGACTCGTGATCGATTATAATTCTTTTTCTATGACTGATCTATACAACTTTTCTAACATTGGGATTTCTTTCTTTTTCTTTTTACATCTGATATCATTTTATGAAAGTCAAGTGTTACAGATGATCTGCAATAATTATTAAATTGATGACAAATTAGTGAACAAAAGATTTAAAAATAATTTTTTCACAAACTTTATTTGCTTTCATTATATATGCACATATTTTAAGTGGTAATTGCATGACAGCACAATATGCTTCCAGTGATATTTTCCCTTGAAAATCCCACAAGAAAAACAAAATCAATTGTGGTTGTATTCATTTTACAGTAGAAAAGAATCTAGCTGCATTATAGCTTTTTCTCTCCTAGAATTCATGATATTTATTCCAACAATTTTCTTTTCTTTAACTGTAATCAATTGGCAAAACAGATTCAAAGGTATGTCAGAGCACAACAAACCGCAACTATTTTGTCAATATTGTAGGAATGGGGGTCCGTCATATAGATAAACGTCCCCATTCTACGTCACTGTAAAACAATCCATGGGCAACCTGGATTGCTATATAGTATATTTCTGACGAACAGCACTTGAGAGAGAGAGAGAGAGAGAGAATGAGAGCTATGAACTGTTCATGTCTGTTGTATTATCCTTGTATTATCCCCACCCTGTAAAAAATTCCCGCTATGACGTCATCTTTTCCCCCTCCGCGGCGCCATAATGGTAGTCGAACTCAAAGGGGTATCACAACAGCAGCGATTATCTAATCAGTTTTCAGCTTTTTCTCCAAAATGCCGACGATGTGTGCCGTATACTCTCTCTCTCTCTGTCCCAAGCCCCTGTTCTTCCCCTGTCTAATATAAATATCATTTTCCTCTAACTCAAGTAGTGTCCGAGATGACCCCTCACTCCTCCAAACTTACCCCCATACGCCAAATGTACTTGCTCTGGTTGGTAATACACGATTCCTACTTCCGATAGGTGTGGCGCGCCATGTAAACGCCCCACAATAACTGCGAAGACAGACAGAAAGGAGAGGATTTCTTGATACATCTTGTCTCTCTTCCGTTGCCTCAAAACGTCACATAATGCCTTGGGTCAACGTATATATTACTGATGAAAAATTAACCTGCGCAATCAGTGTTGTTAATGGATGACCTAGGTCAAATTATTTGCAGGTGCAGGTATGCCTACCCGCATAGCGCAACTACTGCAATCGTGGAAGACGTCACAGCACAATCCTGGCAAAGAGAGTGTGGGTGTGGGGTACAATCCTTGAAATTGCCGTCTACATATGCTACTATTTATACGATGACAGACGGCCACGTTCTCTTTTTCAAAGCAAATTGTCGGGCTTATGCCCCATGAATAAAGAAGAAAATACTTTATGTGAAACCTGAGAATTAAACATGTGGACAAATGCACTGAAAGCCCTTTTTTTCATAAATCTTATTCATCAGGGGCGGATCCAGCCGAAATTTCTTTGAAGGAGGGGGAGGGGGCGGGGCGGGTCAGTTTTTTTTTTTTAGGGATTGACATGCTTCGGATTGCGAGGCCGACCTTAACCACCTTAGCGTAAGATTCGCCCCCCCCCCCTCCCCAAAAAAAAAAAAAAATAATAATAATAATAATAAAAATAAGAAAAAACTATGATTCAGCCTTTTTTTTGGGTGGGGGTGGGGGGGGGTGCGTTTTTTTTATCAGAAATCGAAAGGGGGAGGGTCAGAACCCCCCCCCCCTCCGATACCCCTCTAAATCCGCCACTGTTCTCATACTCGGTATTTTCATATCGTCCTGTTTGACACTGGTTTGATGAGGGACCCATGGCGTATTTTCATTACCCTTGAAAGCCACTTTTTATTTCCTGTGTATGCATGTATGAACGTAAATAATCCAAATCCGAAGGCTCTTGATGCAGCTTTTTTTTATTCTTTGTTTTTCGTGTTCAACTTAACCATTATATTCTGCATACCCGTTGATTCGTGTTTTTCAACTCGTAGGGCAATGTAATTCCTGCGTTTTCGACGAGTTATGAATAAATAAAGTTTTATTTAATGTGAATTGTGAATTGATAATTTTATTTCCCGTGATCTGTGATCACCCCCCCCCCCCTTCCCCCCATGGGATCTCCTTTGAATAAGGCCTATTTCGAATGCTCGTATGCATTTACATTTACAACTATTGCTTTATTTTGAGTCAAGGACGTGGGTAATTTTTGTGTCTCGTCAGGGGCGGATTGAAGCCGTATTCTAGGTCTATTTCTTTCTGTCGAAAGACGGCCAAAAATGGAGGATGATCAACAAAGTCGTTTTGGTCATATGTGTCTTTTGACCTTTACAACATGAAAAGTCACGCCTGAAGACTTAAGGGAAGGTCAATAATCACTGATAACTAGTCAAACCGACCATATGGCGTATCGTTTTAAAGTGGCATTCACACACCTTGCCACGGATCAGTAGCGAACCAATGTGGAATAAAAAAATAGACAAATCATATACATTTCGAAGGACATGCTGCCACAGACCTTGTAATAGACTATAAGTGGAAAGTAAATTGAAAAATACCGTGGATTGAGTTACAAGGTACGGGTACCTCGATACAGCTTTATTTGACTGACAGATTGGGTTCCCATACTTAGATCGATTCATCTGGATCGACCTAACTCCCTGGGGATTCACGCTAAATTGCTCAAGGGGTGTAAATGTCTGTCAGCCCTACCGAATCAACTAGGATAAAGATAATTACCCCATAACAGCTTTACTAGGCGTGACAGTCATTTAAGCCAGTTAAGTTCATCGCAATTTATTGAGACTCCCAAGGGAGATAGATCGATCCAAATATTTGTGGGAACGGTCCCATTGACACATCCCCGAAAACGACGTGTAAACGTGCCTTTGTTATCATTATCATCCGTCCTTGACCACTGGGAACCGTTGTGCCCCCTCTGGGGTTTATCCATGCGACCGGACAAACTTTTAGACGTAGTGTACATAACATTGTGGGATGACGAACATGTATCTGGCATTGAGTGCGCTGTTATGTGGCGCGTTTTTCGAGGTAATGTAGAAAAAGGTAGGCCCTATTTTAGGCCTATCGATTAAATGTTTCATCGATTTTATACTGGGATAGTCCTTGGTCTCTGTTATCAAAATTCATCGGTGCTTTTTTAACTGATATAACAAATGCGGTTCATATTTTAATTCTAAAGTAGCGGAAGCATGATACTTCTCATCCTTTCCCCGTTACCCACTCTTTTTAAAGTAGGCCCTACGTGTCCCATTTGTACCTAATTGTGCGGGGCCAACGTGGCAGTGTTTCTTGGCACACGGACACAGCGTCAATTTTATAGCTTGCGCTATGTCCATGGTGATATGTCTTTTATGTTCATAGACGGATCTGTTAAAGTGGCTTTGTTCCCCCCACCCTTACCCCTTGATTTACATGTACTGTACATCTGACAACTTTTGTGGCGTTATTGCCGCAGTTTTATCCGATTATCCGTTTTCCGTAATCTTCCATGTATTTTTTGTTTATTTATCTATTTTATTTATTATGCCAAAAACGGCAATCTACTTGACTGCATGCACCTCCGTTTTTAGCTGGTAACGGAGACTGTAGCGCTGCCTCCCACGCTAGCCCCAACTGATCCGCCTCTTCCGTGTCTACCTTTCTGTGCGTCCGGGGACCCAACAATGACTCCACCCACACCACCCAGTATGCCTACGACTACACCCTTCTGGTGGAATTGCCGTTTTCCTGACCAATCGCAACCTTGGGAACACTGCCCCAGTGGGAACTGTGTCGGACCAGGACTGAGGTATATAGGCACGTGACCGTTAACCCCCCCCCCCCTTAGACCCCATCAACAATGATCGTTGCTCATTCAACGGAATTTTATTATTTTTTTCATGTACTCCGTATTGTTGAACAGGCAAGTTTTGACTCAATGGCTTAAAATTGTAACGACTTGGGAACATGTAGGGCAAAGTGAAAATTAAATAATTAGAAGCTACATGTAAAAGTTAAAAAGTATAGTACGGGACGATTAAAGCATGCCATTGAGCGTTCAACTTTTATTCAGCAAAATACTTGTAATGATAACCATAATAATAAAAGCTTTCCTACAAATTTCTACAATTTCAAACAATGAGAAAAATTTATGTACCCTATTTCAAATACTTAAGTGCTAATTTTTGCTTTCACCCGTGAATTGCAGTCCCTCGATCTCTCTTCATTTTTGGTTGTAGCCAAACCTTCGTAAGCATAAGGGAAAGGTGTCGCAATCTCCAGTTTAATAAACACTTTGACGTATAAAGGTCTAAAACTTACTGTGACTTTAATTCAATGGAGGTCCGTCATCTTCTGAATGTGTTGGAGATGAGTCGTCAAGGTCATTCAATAGCATCAACCCGCATCTGTCACATCGGTCACACTATACGGACTTTCAATCTCTTTCTCCAGGTGCGTCGACACAGAGTCAGTCCTAATCCGTCCTCCCATAGAACCGACGCCGCCTCAACCAATAAGGACAACCACGCCAGAGCCGACTACCCTCCCCGGTCCCATGCCACCATTGCCTCCAATCCGTGCTAGAAGGTGTCTGCCCTTCCCACCATCGTACCAATGTGTCCCCGTAGAGCAGATCATAGGATAGGCAGACTATGGACTTGAGCCAGAGACGATCTTCTGGGGAATTTTTGTTTGAATTAAAATCTGATTTGTTAAATACATTGTATAATTGTTTTACAATAAAGCGGATACATTTGGTAAGCGTTATTTGGTCCTTTTTTAGACAAATAAATCGAGTCTCTCTGGCAGGGAATAATTCACTTTACTGCAATGGTTGAAGTGAAAGGGGCATTTACCGGATTACAGTCATTATAAGGTATCTGAGAATGCTTCTGCTCGGCATGGTATTACAATGCGCTCGTATGATGAACTGTACATTTCCTATAGCTATTAAAACAGTAAACAAGTACTAGTGCTACCTGTAAGACGACCATTTACGCAAGCCTCGCTTGGTTAGACGTGTATTCTGACATGCACTACACGGAAGGTCACAACTGAAGATTTAAGGGAAGGCCAATAATCACTGATAACTTTAAAAACCGAACATATGGCGCGTGGTTTTAAAATGGTATTTACACAACTTGCCATGGATCAGTAGTGAACCAATAAGGGATACAAATAAACCATACATGTATTATATGCATTTAAAAGTCCTATGCTTCCACCAGACCTAAAAGTGGAAATTTAGTAAATCGAAAATTACCGTGTATAACTTGCGTGAAACTGGCGTCTTGATATAGCATTATTTGACTGATGAGCATCGCCGAAGACGGCGTATAAACGTGCTTTTTTTATTATCATCCATTCCTGACAACTGGTTTATCCATGCAAGTGACGGTATTTGGACAGAAGTTTACGTAACATTGCGGAACGATGAACATGTATCTGGTACTGAGTGCACTTTTATGTGGAGTGTATTTCAAGGTAACGTAGAAATACGTATTTTTTTCGATTTTAATGTCTACGTCTATGTTGGGAGAGTCGCAGGTCAGGTCTATGTCACCAAATTTTCTTGGTGTCTTTGAAATGATAGAGACAGCATTTACTCCACAGCATTGACCGCTATCATTATTTAGCAACCATCTTAACAATGTTTCTTGTTACACTGTCATTGTGGCAATTTTATTGTTTTATGACCATGGTGACTTGTTTATGTTTCTCTTGATAGACGGATTTGGTAATGCCTGCCCCCCCCCCCCCTTTGATTTGCATTTGACGACGGTGGTTGGGTTATTTCCAAAAGTTTTATCTCACCATCCTTTTTTACATAGGGTTTCTTTTTAAAGTGTCTACATCACTAAATCTTGCTTCTTTATGTTATGTTAAAAGCAGGGTTCTAGTTAATAGCATTCACTTTCATTTTCAGCTTGTTACAGGAGCCGTAGTGCCACCTTCTCCACCACCAAACACCACCACTACTACCACCACCACTACCACCACCCCCACCCCCCACCCCCACTACCGCCACAGCACTACCGCCCTGTGTTGCTTATGTATTGAATTTTCGGGACGGAACGCGACCTTGGGAACACTGCCCCAGTGGGAAATGTGTCGGAGAAGGACTGAGGTAAGAGGTCACGTGATCATCACACCCCGCTCAACTACCATCCTTGCTCATTTAATGGAATATCAATTTATATAACACGTTCATTTTGTACTTTGTGATACTGCTTGACACAGGCAAACTTTGACTCATGACGATCGAGGTAAATACAATACTTAAATAACAATATTAATGCAATTCCTAAATTATGCAAAATACCCACACTGTTCGTGTAACTGTTATGGTAAAGAGAGTTTCCTTTTTCCCCACCAGGTGCCTCAACATGTATGATAAGACGCCCCCACCAACAAGGACTCTTTCGACAACGTCAACCACGCCATGGACGACTACCCTCCCCGGTCCCATGTCGTCACTGCCTTTAAGCCGTGCTAGGAGGTGTCAGGCGTATCCATGGTGGTATCAGTGTGTCCCCGTAGAGTACATGTACATGTACATCATAGGATAGGTACATGTATCCCAGGACTTGAGACAGATACGATCCTCTGGGGCATTGAATGAATGGCTGATTTGTTAAGTGAATGTGCATTGTATCACAATAAAGATAATATGTACATTTGCTAAGCGTTAGTTCGTTTATTTGAAATTACACTGAGAATTTGACAGAAAAAATCACTTTTTTGCAACGATTTAGGTGAAAGCACCCTGAGCTTCAGAGGTAACTTGACACTAAGCTGTTCACTATAGCCTATATCTTCAACGTGTCGAGTGAAGAGCTTAGTGTCAAGTTATCTCTGAAGCTCAGGGTGGGTGAAAAGGGTAACTGTAGAATTGCAGTCAATAAAAGGTATGAATGAATATAACTGCTTTTCTGCATTGCACTACTTCTTGAGTGCTCATGTACGTTTTACATTAAAACAGTAACAAGTATTTTGTTGAAGGCAGTACATTTACACAAATCGTGCTGGGATATGAAGGTGCGTAAACTATTAGCTTTAATTCCATTAATATTCCAATAGGCAAATGAATAAAATATCAGTACTGTTTCATATAAATAATTAGGATGATAAGCAATTTGACAAGCACATAAAAAAGTAAGTTAGAAAGAATGAATAAATGAATAAGTAATAAATTTACTGTTACCAATTATTTTCATTCTGTCTTGTCGTACAATGTATGAATTCTTGAGCTCTCCTTGATACCGATATAACACTGCCCCTTGGACATAATTCGTTATTATGTCCAACACTGCCCAGAACCTGACAGCTGAGCACACGCTTTAAGGTATACTGTGATGAAAAAACGGGTTAAAACTATCCTTTAGGTGCACCGCCCAAAGTCTTCTGGGGCATTCTTGTTTGAATTAAAATCTGATTTATTAAATACATTGTATAATTGTATTACAATAAAGCGGATACATTTGGTAAGCGTTATTTGGCCTTTTTTAGACAAATAAATCAAGACTCTCTGGCATGGAAGAATTCACTTAACTGCAATGGTTAAAGAGAAAGGGGCATTTACCGGATTACAGTCATTTTAAGGTATCCAAGAATGTTTCTGCTCGGCATGATATTTACAATGAACTCGTATGATGAACTGTATATTTCCTATGAAAACAGTAAACAAGTACTTCTAGTGCTCCCTGTAAAACGTACATTTATTTACCCAAGCCTCTCTTGGCTGTACGTGAAGTCTGACATACATTATGTACAACGAATGTCACGACTGAAGGTTCAAGAAAAGGCCAATAATCACTGATAACTTAAAAAACCGAACATATGGCGTAACGTTTTAAGTGGCATTCACACAACTTGCCATGGATCAATGCCAGATAAAAAGTAACACAATATGCAATTTTAGGCCCTACATATAAAGGACATATGCCTCCAACATGCAGATCTAATAAGTGGAAAGAAAATTTTAAAACACAGCATTAATTTAAGTGGTACAGGCATCTTGTTTATAGCCTTATTTTGCTGAAAATTATCCCTGACGACGTATAAACGTTCCTTTGTTATCATTATCATCCGTCCCTGACGACTGGTTTATCCATACGAGAACAGTCTTTCAGACATTTATGTACGTAACATTGCTTAATGATGAACGTCTATCTGTTATTGAGTGCGCTGTTGTGTGGCGTGTATTTCGAGGTAATATAGAGATATGTATTTTATAGCTTTAATGTTTTATCCATATTATGCTGGAATAGTCCTTGGTCTCTGTCAACAAAATTTCTTGGTGGTTTTCAATTGAAATATTATTGTGCGTTCAAGGACCAACGTGACAACGTTTCTTGACACTGGCGCTGCGTCAGTTTTTTAAACTGCTCCATATCCAAGGTGATTTTTTTTATCTAAACCACACAGACGACGCTGCGTGATAGCGTTATCTTCCACTGTGGTCAACCAAGTGGGTAGATAGCTAGCCTTTCTTTGTTATACGGCCGACCTTTTCCATTGACGTTATCCTTTCTATACGTGCCACACACTTCCAGGTATATATATCAATAACATGAGCTGACTCGGCAGGAATAAAGGTTCCGTCACACCTAGCGTAAAGAGGTGCGTATGAGTAACGTAGAAGACGTCTATTATACGCACAACTTCGAGCGTATGAAATCACCATTTCCAGCGTATTAGAATGAAGCAGCATATGGAATTGATTTTGAATATACTCAAACATTTTATTTCCCTCTGGGTATTCGAACGTACACCGACGTTTGTCTGCGGACACGAGGCGAATACGACCTAAGGTCAGCGAATGGGCAAATACTTTTATGCTTTTGAGCTACACGCTAGGTGTGACAGTGCCTTAACATGTCTTTACTTTCACCTGGTCACGGGAACTAACGCGCCCGAGCCAACGCCATCGCCATCAACAACACCTTTCTGGTGGTATTGCAGATTCCCTGACGCAACTAAACCTTTCGAGCACTGTCCCAGCGGAAGATGTTCTGGATCAGGACTAAGGTATGTGATCACGTGGTCACAATTCGTCACGTGTTCAGTGAGGAGTTTTTTTAGTTGGCCTACCGGTACACACCCGATGGGTAAAATAAATTCTTGAATTCCGAACTTAGCAACCAACCTTGTTCATTCGATGGGATACTTAACTTCTTATTACATGATTGTTGACTGTTCCTCGTGGTTTTACTTAACACATAAATGTAATTTATCAGCAGATTATGTAGCATCGCACTGCTTATACATCTTGCGCTAGGACCCATAGTCCGTTCTGAATTGATTTGTACTGGTGGTATAATTAACCTTATATTACGACTAACCCTAACCTGTACTATCATAAGGGACCCCGGGCTTCCATCCTTATAGGACTACCATTCCTGTCGCAACGGCAAGTTCCGAATGCAACGGAGAGGAGCTATCAAGATCATCCAATAGTACTACTCGCACCTGTCACATTAGTCACTGTTCACGGATTCTTCTTCTCTTTTTCCAGGTGTGTCAGCATATATTCAGTTGTAACCCGTCTTCCGATAGAGACGAATACGCCGACTGGACCGACAAGAACGCCACCGACAAGAACACTATCGACAAGGTCGACCACGCCATGGACGACTAAACTTTATGGTTATACGTCGACGCCATTGCCTCTATGTCGTGCTAGGAGGTGCACGTCCTTTCCGTCGTGGTATCAGTGTGTCCCCGTTGAGTACATCATAGGATAGACATCCAGGGACTTGAGACAGATACGATCCTCTGGGGAATTCATATTTGAATGAAGAGCTGATTTGTTTAATATTACGGCAATAAAGATAATATGTACACTTGCTAATTGAACAATTAGACTTTGACGGGAAAAAATCACTTTCTTTCAACGATTTGGGTGAAAGGGGTATAGAATTACAGTCACAAAATGGTACGAATGAATACTACTGCTTTTCAGCACTGTACTACTACTCGTGTGCTCATGTACATTTCACATTAAAACAGTGTGCAAGTATTTCCAGTGCTGAAAGAAATCTTGTAAATAGGCAAATGAAAAAAACATCAATACTGTTTCATATAAATAATGAGGATGATAAGCAATTAAGAATGAATAAATGAATAAGTAAGTGAAATGAATAAGTAAGAAAGAATGAATAAATGAATAAGTAAGTGAAATGAATAAGTAAGTAAGAATGAATAAATGAATAAGTAAGTGAATTTGCTGTTACCAATTATTTTCATTCTGTCTTGTCGTACAATGTATGAATTCTTCAGCTCTCCTTGATACCAATATAACACTACCCAGAACCTGACATGCGCTGAGCACACGCCTAAAGAAATTTTCAAACTCAGCTCTGACCGTAAACGCATCGTAAGGGGCCTTTAAGCCATCGCATGACAGTTGATGGAGTTTCTCAGGCTCCGATAGGAGAGAGAATATCCGTCCCCTTGCCTACCCCCCCCCCCCCTCTCGCAGACAAGGGGGGTGGGAGATGTGATAAAGTGCACGTGTAAATAGACATGTGTTGGAGTTCAATGTGAATATAATATCATTATAACTCAATTTACTGAAGAGATGTGACAATGTTTACCTATTCTTGCTTCGGCAACGTATCCTATACTACGGCTGTGACTTACCAGAAGGTGAATAGATATGTGATTAATAATGAAAGTAAAGCACTGACGATATATTAACGAAATATTCAGAAGGTCAAACCAGTAGTTGATGTCAGAGGCGGATCACGCCCGCCAATAGCACAAAGGCACATATAATAGGCGGAATATATCTAACCTGAGAAGACAGACTGACTGCCTTTCCTTCGGAAACGCTCTGCAAGGATGTACTCGCTTTGTGTAACGTTGGTGGCACTGTTAAGTTTCCAAGTAGTGGCATACTGGCAAAATCGACCCAGACCGCCCTTGGTGAGTAAAAAGTTCTTCCTATCTTGCACCAAAGATCAGAACGAACTGCGCCATTTTAATACCTTCAGATATTAAATTTTGTGCTTTTCAAGTAAATTGCTGTCTTTTAAATAATTCAAAGCAATTCTATTAACTTCCATAAAATCAAGTTGATAAGATATAAGACAAAATGGTCACGGAAAGTGTTTTAGACCTATACGGTACACGATTTGTCAAGCAGAATATAATAAATAAATGGATGAAAAAATAAAAGTGAAAAGATTTATTTGCCGTCTCCTCAAAGACACCTCAAGACATGTGTTTCATATCTTGCTTGAATACTTTTTTCCTTCCAGTCTCCATTATACCCGGGGATACCACAAAATCATTACGGACACGTCTGGAATGTCTTAAATGTAATGTATTGCAATAAATTATGTAGTCACTTTAGACACTTATGATTTGATTTATTAGTCATTAAATAAGGTAATTCGACTTCGACTTCTTCGACTTGTCACCTAATGAGACTACGTATTAACTTGTACGTTGTATCTTAGAATTATGCAGTAAATGACAGCTCAAGGGTATCGAAACTGGGAGAGGACGATTTGCTTCCCCTTAACACCTATATTTATGCTGAGGATACCTTCAACATATATATATATATATATATATATATATATATATATATATATATATACACGTTGCAGTGATTAACGTCATAAAGCAAAACTCTATTTAACAATTTTCAACCATTCTTTGTACCCCCGATATATGTATCTGTTCATTCTTTTTCAGACGCAATTTTACGGAAGGGCACGGAACAATCAGCTCAAGAACACAAGGGAAGCCGTGAATGTAATATTTTTTTCTGTTATGCTTGTCATGCCCGACCCTTTACGTATTCCTTTTCCGTACTTCCTGTCGCGTATTCCCCATAAATTTGAAGTGTAATTTTGAAACAAGCACGCGTCTAGTTTAGCCGCATCAGCGCCTTCAGAGATGAATGGGAATCATACCCCAGTTCGTGAAATAAAGACAGATGAGCTAATTTGCAGCAAATTTGTTGCAAATTTGCAAGAACTTGAATACTTTCTTGCAAACGTACTGCAAACTTGAGATGTTCTTGCAAATTTGCTGCTAGTTTTGCCACAGCTTTGCCAGAACAAAAACACTTTCTTGCAAACCTGCTGTAAACTTGTTGTTATTGTAAATTTGCTGCAAATTAGCAGCAATACAAATTTTTCATGCAAACTCGTACAAACTAGCAACCGCAAACTTTTAGTTTGCAGTACATTTGCTGCAAATTTGCTGCAGTATTGCTGCAAACTTTTCCTTTTGCAACAAGTGCGTTGGAAACAAGAGGAGGCATTTCAATTTGTTAAATTAAAAGGGAATTATATGTGTGACAGTTTTGCTTGGAGAGCAGTATGGTTTGAGCGGACCAGATTTTTTAAAACTTTACGAGTGAAACTGCAGCAGGTCATTGGAGGATACAAAGCAACAGTTGCGCCATGAATGTTATAAACAATGTATCATAGGTACTTATTGTTCAACAGCCTAGGCCAACCTCCGAAGCTTTTACCTTTGACGTCTATCCGCTACCTAATGGGGGCACCAGGTACACGGTATACAACTCTCCCGAGAAACCGCGAGACTTAGAGCATAACCTGACGCAGGTAGGCCTAAATAAAACGTAGAACTCGTATGTATCGAGTTGACATTTTCTCTTTTCTTTTATCATTCTTTATTTGAAACATAAAGGATCCATAAAACATATGACACGCACTCGATTCACGAAGCATTTTAATTAAAATTGTCCGAAGTTTTTTATGAGGCGGGGTATTTTCTATGGCACCAATTGCCTAAAAGCGATTTTCATTTAATGGTCTTATTTCGTCTTCTTATAACATATTGATTATCGTTTATCTCGAGAGATCACCAGTAACTTATACCAGTATGTACATAGCATAATTCGCATCTTTGCGAAACTCACGAAAAAAAAAATTACGGTACTGAAATATATGAGTTTATCGCAGTCTGCAGCTGCTAATCAGATATAAATGTAGTATTTCATTAAATTAATATATTTTAAATTTTTCATTGGGCATAACTCTCTAAATTATATCTTGACAGGATTCACGATATTCCATTAAAATGCATGATTCGAAGCAATGAATACTCCGAAGTTATCAATTTTAAATGTGGTCTGAGTTCATACTTCACATCTGGCTGTACTTTCACAGCTAGTCATGCGTTATATCACCATACTTATAACAGAAATAAAACCAAACGCTATAATTGAAAGAAAATAGTTATAACTTTGTGATGTTTTAGCCTGAAGACGGAGACATAGTACAGATCTGGTCTCCTATGTCAGTGGAAGGCGGTGGCTATCTTCGAGTAACTAACCAAATCGCGCCAAATGGCGGGTACTACGTCGATTCGAAAGGATATATAGAAGATTCTAATAGTATGTAGCATTTTGAGTTACAATAACGTTTTTTCTCCAACATGATCTGATTCATAAAATTTGCTTGATACTTTCCTTGGTGTGGGTGGGTGGGTGGGTGAGGGGGGGGGGGGTCATACATCGTTGCCTTTTTAAAAAAAAATATTTAAGTTTTTATCAGCAAGTAGAAAAAGTATCGGACTTTGACCTATTTTCCAAATTAAACATTGAATTTTTATCAGCTTTGCAAAGACAAATATGATATTCCAATATATCATTTTTGTTCCACTTTGAAAAATACGATATCGACATCGTTTTATTAAATTTCTTTTAACACATTTGCCTTCCTTATCAACTCAAACCCAACAAATCTCCAAATACCAACTTTTACTTTACAGCCAAGTTCCGTTGGTGGACGACATTTCCGCGACCGTCCCTTATGGATGCCGTTGTTTTGCGCATGAGCAAGACCCAGTTTCTTGGAAACGAGACAGAAGATGGATGGTACATCATTACCTACTCATATTGGGGACCCTCTTATCCGACAATCACAGCTGTAAGTCCACGACAGAATAATTCTTCGATTTATAAAATGTAGTGTCTGAGTAGTTTGTTGTCGCTTTAGTTAGTTGTCAGGCATGCTGAATGTACAAAAATTTATGTATGCAAATTGTTGTCCAATCATTCCATTTATTCAATTATTCGTCCCTTTGTTTATGTAGTTTGTTTACTTAAATAAACATATTTTTACATTTAAAACAGTTGAGAATGATTCGTTTTGAAGTCGATTTTCATTCATCATAAAACAGCATCATTCAACAATTTAGCATTATGTTGTTTCTATAATTATAAACACAATATATTTTATTACCGTGCCGCCGCAGTGCTTGAGCGCATGACCACTTTTAAAGGCATAGGCCTGTAAATACACAGGCTCATTGCGTCCCCAGAGTATTATTGCTGCTAGTGACGTAAAACATAGGCTACATATTGTTAGCCCAGGGCCTATAGCGTTACTAAGGCCGCATTCACATCGAAAAGAGCCGAGGCTCTACAAAGCCGAGACCTAAATATGGCGTCCATGAAAGGAAAACCGCCTAATCTTTTAATAGTCTCTCCACCTCTCACACGCCTCCCCACGCGTCGTCCCTGCGGGGGTACAGTAATTAAATCTCGGCTCCATTCGCCCGGAAGCTACCTGATAAATACAAAGTGCGCAAGCCTATTGGTCTGGGGTCAGCTGATTACGCTGCGATGAACATTACATGTACATTCCCTACGTAAAAATAAAGGGTCCGTGTAGCAGTTACATTGTCCGCCATCCATACAAGTTAGGGTAAGCATGACGTAAGTGGGTCAAAATCTAGGGCAGTGTTTACCTGCAGAAGTCAATGGGAATCGGACCTTGTTTCACAGGGTACATGTACTATCTCATTATGACATATATATGACACTGAAAAAGGATTATGTTAAAGGGTTGTTACGCCTTGCCTCAAGGTCAAACGGGGACGTGTGTCTTAGTTAAGAAAAGAAATGCAATCATATCGCGCATTCACTATTTCAGAATATGGGCACCTGGCTGCCGACAGTTGACCAGATTTGGAATCCGACGTTCTTTGGAAATCATTTAAGGTAGCCTTATGCTTGTCATATTAAAGATCAAAACTGTGTTATTGATTCTTCCAGCATTTACCAGTACATGTTTGTACCGGTAGGGTATTCAGTCTATCAGTTGAATGGTCTATCAGTTTCTTTTGTTTTTTTATGCAACTACTCTATGGCAATGCTTAGGGTTGTGAAAAGAGCAATGATGTTGGTACATAGATCTCCTTTTTAAAAAGTGAATAACGTTTAAGATTCCATTCCCATAGATTTTAGATCGATCTATCGCTGTGGGGAGTCTCACTAGATTGCTGTCAGCTTAGCCGGCTTAAGCGTCTGTCCCACCTACTAAAAGCTGTAAGGGGGTAATTAACTGTCGTGTGCGCTCGGCTGACTGCAATTTAGCGTGAACCCCCAGGGAGTTAGGTCGATCCGGATATATCGATCTAAATCTCTGGGAATGTAGTCTTAGAGGGAATGGAAAAATTCAGGGCATCAAATGTCGGCAAATAATATATTCAAAGGATGGATTCAGGTTGGAAGGTACATGTATATACTGTTAAGTCATTGACATATAGCTGTCTTTAATTTGTAGATTGGAGAAGGCAACATCCTCTGGTTATCCGTCCATCTTCCTTAACGCAAAAAGATACGGACAGATTGAAGGATATCGTGAAACGGGACGACCGGAAGTTGCCAAACTTTGGCCGAATCCGGGTACTCTGTTCTTCATTTACGACCAGGGAATACAAAATGACTAAGAAAATAGATTATTTTCGACGGACATTAATTTAACAGATTATTTTAAAAGAAAACAGGAAGGTAAGAATTCATCTGGTATTTTTGAGTGGGTGTAATTACAGTTTTATAGCACCTTTCAAGGGGAACTTCAGAAAAATATCGTAACACGAAGCTCACTGTAGTAACTTGTATGTAGTAGGCGTATAGTAGAATAATGAATGAACAGAGATCATGAAACTGATGGTAAATAAATGAATACATCAGAACCGTTTCAAGAACCAAGTGTCGTGTATTTTTCTCCTTATATGAGAACTTCTAATGCTTGTGTGATTTAAATCCTGATAACTTGCAGCAGAATATAGAGTGGCATCTAATGTTTTTTTTTCTCAGTGCTTCAAATGTGTACGTATAGGTTCTGAATGAACATGCTTGACTCCATTCCAAACAGACCACACACAAACACAAGAACATAGTTAAAATATGTTATAAAATATATTTTAATAACAACTTTGTTCAATATACATCTCGTATAAAATATTCGGCCTGTTATGAACAGAAAGAACAAATGGAGTTACATGACGTTAGATAAAATGTTACTTGTGCTGGGTGAATGAAATAATTTGTGTTTTATTGCATACATCTCGATAACAGATACCCTGCCCGGCTTAGTTTTGTATAATGAAGTAACAAATGGCTTCCGTTTCATTTGATAGGATTTTATACTGAATATGGTTTTATATAATAATAATAATAATAATAATAATAATAATAATAACAAGAGACTTAATGTAAGAGATGATATAAAACAATACTAATTGATAGGGACCACACTTGGTCCTTCCGTGGTGTAAAATGTCTATTTACCTATATTCTTTACAGCAGAGCTACTTTTATTTCAACACGTAGCCTACTACATGTTATTGGTTGACTGGATGTCTTTACATGCTCACATGTTCATTAAACGTGTTCAATACTAGTATATTTCATGAATACATGTAGTTCCCCCCGAGTCACTTCACACGTGACATGGTGGGCGAATTAATCGTAAAGTAGATGTGGAGAAATATGATATCATGCGTTCGTTTCAGGTCTTAGTCGAATCTGGAATAAAATGCAAAATTTTAAGTAAATAAACTGTTTAGAGTTATAACGATTAAGGTGTCTTATTAAACTGGCATCTGGTGTTTTACTAAGCTTTCACAACAATAACACGCACGTCTAGCTAGCTGTAAATGTCCAATACTTCGTATCATTACTTTTAAAACATATCATCAAAAATATAAAGAGGAATATTTAACCACATTTTGCCACGGAACACGCAAAAAATATGAAACACATTCAAAATCACACTTACCGGATTGTGGAAGCCGTTCCCATACCCCACTTGAGGCCGCGATATCCTGAATTCGTGATCTGGTTTCAAGTTGCCAGTAAGCATGCTTTCCCACCCGTTAGAGTCCATGTCCGGATATCCTGAAATGCAAAGAACAATTTCAAAAATATTCATGTCATAAATAAGTCGAGATTCAAATCAAGGTACTGGCAATCCACCAACAAGAGATGTGAACTGGGCCGAGATTCAAATGCAGAGATACATAGTAACCAACTGTTAACCCGAAATTATCCAAAAAGCGTTTAATATCGACCTTAAACAGACATTACATCGTGGAGAAGACTTATTTAGCAACATGAATCGGTTTGGATCCATATTAAAACCGTGTTTAATCAGAAATTCATTTTCGATGCAAGAACCGAAAAGCTACGAATCACGTCACCCATCTCATTTATAAACTTGTTAAAAACTGTAAACGTGCTCAAACTATACTATGCCACTAAATATGTATCCATCCTGACGCCTTAAATACGCATATACCTACCGTGGCGCCCCCCATAATTGGCGTAGCCTCCATTTCTGTGCAAAAAGTCACTGCCTGAGCTGCTGCTCCGACTACCCGGAACTACTAGTACGACTGCTCCCCGACCCCGGGTCTCGGCCTCTTCCCATGTACTGCCAGTTGGGGAAATACTTGGGATGAAAAACCCCACTGGTTGGTCCGTATGCTCCATGTAAAAAGCTGGAATGAAATGATATCGACATCGATATGCAGAAACATTTTCAAGTCATTTAGACTTTATTACGTCATGTCAGCATCAAAGTGACGTCATGTAATGCTGGGCTATGCAGTGAAGGCTGGATATTAAATCTCGTAGACAAAGATAATAAAATAAACAAATTAATATAAACAAAATCGAATTTAAAAAATAAATAATCACGATTCAAACAATTGAATTAATGAACAATGAATGTTCAATGAAGTAATTTGAAATTTTAGAATAGTTAATACATTCTCAAATCAAATGCATGGATTTCGCACTCACTTATCATATCTAGTTGCCCGTAGCTTCTCCTTCTTCGCTTTCCTCTTTTTGTAAATGATCACAATAACGAGGATGCATATCGCAACGATGAGTAGAATGCCGCCGACGGTGCTGGCCGCCACTATGGCTATTTCATCATTTGTCAGCCCAGATTTGGTCTGGCATTGGCTACCGCTGTAGCCTGTCACACATCTGTCAATGATAAAAGAATGTATTATTACTGAACAAATACGTGTGACTGGCAAAAAGCGGTAAAACTGACAGAGAGAAAGACAATGAAAATAAAACACATGTATATATAAATCTATAATTGTATCTACCTACATGTACCTATCTACCTACCTACCTACCTGTCATACACGCGCGCGCGCATGCATACTGACATACATAAATGCATTCAGACCGACAAACATTCAATCAAACAGCATAAAAACATAAACCAATTGTTTTGCCTTTGACATCACCTAGAGAACACAAGACAAGCATACGAATCCATTAAAACTAGTTGTTCAGACAAAAGATGGAAAAGGCTTTACTTACGAACAGTAACCATATGCACTGCCATCACAAGCGCCCCCGTTCTGGCAACCCAGCACCGTACACTGTTGTAATGGCACTGAAAATAGGCAGATCAGGTGAAGAGTCATCAGTCTTAAATTTTTCCCAAAATGCGACACAACTGCACATAAGTTTTTCAAAAATTGCGCAGCGGGGCTGTGCCATGGGAATCATACCCATATTTTAGAATTTAGACAAGTACATAACGTCCCGTCAAAGTGTCCAAAAACCCCGGCTCAAATAGTTGACCGATAGACGGGTTCAGGTACAAATAAGTCAACTGCAAATCCTTTTCGCCTTGGTAATTTTCATACGGATACCAGAGAGACCGCAAACCCTATATCCGCTTTACCGTGTGTATGAACAATGCTACATAGAAATGATTGGATGGAATTTGGGTATGTGCTATGAAATGGCAACGAATTCAAACCAAGACGTTCGGTGCAGTAAGGTGACATATTCTGTATTTTACTCAAGAACTGACTTGCAGGTCATTTTAATATAAAAATTTACCATTTGTCGTGTTTGAGTTACGCCCACTAATATATTACAAAAAAAAAAAAAAAAAGAATAAAAATCGATATAAAATTGTCACAATGATCATCGCTATATTTCCATTCGTACTTACCACCGTCTACTACCGGCGCTTCTATTACCCGAAAGCGACTGTTTTCGTAAACTATGACGTAGTTGTTTGGAATAAGCTGTTGCAACATGTGTTCTCTGAAAGCCTGCGTGGTAGCGTTTACATCGCCCCCCGTTGTGTTCACTTTTACCGTGTACTGAACTATAAGACTACCGTCACTGAAAATTTAAATGTATAACTAGAGTTATATTATATTATATTATATTATATTATATTATATTATATTATATTATATTATATTATATTATTTATAATGCATGCAGACTTTTATGCAAAAGACGATAATAATATTTTTTGCACAGTGCACTACTTTCACGACTCACTATACCATTTCACTCGATAGGAAGATATTTAAGGAAGTGATAAAACGTTAAGAATGGACGGAAAGTTCTAGAATTATTTAACGAACTGTTGGAACCAACGTATTCTGAAGGAAGGTAATTAAGGGAAATTGCCTGTATTCCGGAAGACGAGAAAGGAATGAAAATACCCCTTAGACTTGCTAAGAGTTTCATCAACGTTCTTGCCTACCGTTACCCCGAAATGTTTACGGAAGAATAATTGCAATCACGGTATCTGAAGTTAAGGTTTTCATTGTTTTTAATAAAAAAAACATGACTCTGAAACCTACATAAAAAGCTTCATATTAATTTGTTGAGCGAACCGTGTACCTACCGCAAGTTCATTATAACTAAACTCACAAAACCTGCAAAACCGTCATGGAGTGAGACCAGCTGAAATAAAGATGGAAATCAATTACACATACATGTGTATGTGTATAGCATATGAAGTATTACTGTAATTGCAATAAATGGAACATTAATTTTACGAATTCTAGGAACTGTATCACAAAACCCCAGACACCCGAAGACAGATGCCTTTGGATCATTGCATCTTAATATTGTGAGCACATTCAAAATGCCAGCCATTTCCATAAAATACTGGTAAATTTTTATCACGCCATGCCGTGCTCACATGCTAAGATAAATATTTAACATACAGGTATTACGGAGATCTATTACCATTAGGATACATTAAAGTCTTGACCACCAAACTGGCAAACAAATTAATTTCGACGCAAAGAAGACATCATTTCGACGTCACTGTATAAATGTGACGTCACTGTATAAATGTGACGTCACTGTATTAATGTGACGTCATCGTGAAATCACATCACGCCGTGTGTCTGTTTGGGTGGGTACTCACCGCTTTTCTAAGTACGGTATACTCAGCAGAACCCACTATCAAGTAAGGAGCTGGGTTCACCACATCCAATGTTATGTTCACTAAAATAATAATAAAAAAACGAGTTTGTCCGTGAATTAGTGACATGAAATAGAAAGAAATAACACTAATTTTCCAATCTAAAGGAATTGACTTAAACACGCACATGAAAGTCTTTTTTTAGAGATTATAATAATAATTTATCGTTAGTCGAGTCTAACTTCATTAAAGTGTGTTCTGTACAGACTTTGCAAATAAAATGCAAAATTAAAAATATTATTTAAATTAAAAATGTGTTGATTGTAAAGAGAAATATTTCTAATTATAACATTCAGTAAAGTCTAAGTTGTTTAATCAAAATTATTCTAAAAAGATGAGTTTTTATTTTTTAGCAACTGCTGAGCTTATATTCCTTTGTTCTGATATCGATGTGAAGTATTCTTTCTCCAGTTACAATCTATAGACCGGGCATCGCATTTTATCTGCGCCAGGTCAGTGTGTCTGGTTCCTGGTAAAAACAGCCCATTGTTCTTACCTCCGTAGTTAACCTCCGTGTCACATGTGAACCCGTTTCCAAAGTATCCANCATGGAGTGAGACCAGCTGAAATAAAGATGGAAATCAATTACACATACATGTGTATGTGTATAGCATATGAAGTATTACTGTAATTGCAATAAATGGAACATTAATTTTACGAATTCTAGGAACTGTATCACAAAACCCCAGACACCCGAAGACAGATGCCTTTGGATCATTGCATCTTAATATTGTGAGCACATTCAAAATGCCAGCCATTTCCATAAAATACTGGTAAATTTTTATCAGGCCATGCCGTGCTCACATGCTAAGATAAATATTTAACATACAGGTATTACGGAGATCTATTACCATTAGGATACATAAAAGTCTTGACCACCAAACTGGCAAACAAATTAATTTCGACGCAAAAAAGACATCATTTCGACGTCACTGTATAAATGTGACGTCACTGTATTCATGTGACGTCACTGTATTCATGTGACGTCATCGTGAAATCACATCACGCCGTGTGTCTGTTTGGGTGGGTACTCACCGCTTTTCTAAGTACGGTATACTCAGCAGAACCCACTATCAAGTAAGGAGCTGGGTTCACCACATCCAATGTTATGTTCACTTAAATAATAATAAAAAAACTAGTTTGTCCGTGAATTAGTGACATGAAATAGAAAGAAATAACACTAATTTTCCAATCTAAAGGAATTGACTTAAACACGCACATGAAAGTCTTTTTTAGAGATTATAATAATAATTTATCGTTAGTCGAGTCTAACTTCATTAAAGTGTGTTCTGTACAGACTTTGCAAATAAAATGCAAAATTAAAAATATTATTTAAATTAAAAATGTGTTGATTGTAAAGAGAAATATTTCTAATTATAACATTCAGTAAAGTCTAAGTTGTTTAATCAAAATTATTCTAAAAAGATGAGTTTTTATTTTTTAGCAACTGCTGAGCTTATATTCCTTTGTTCTGATATCGATGTGAAGTATTCTTTCTCCAGTTACAATCTATAGACCGGGCATCGCATTTTATCTGCGCCAGGTCAGTGTGTCTGGTTCCTGGTAAAAACAGCCCATTGTTCTTACCTCCGTAGTTAACCTCCGTGTCACATGTGAACCCGTTTCCAAAGTATCCAGTGTTACACGTGCAACTGAAACTCCCAATAGTATTGATACACGCTGCGGCAGTATGGCAGCCACCTCGGTTGAAGATGCATTCATCGATATCTGGAAATGAAAATGAATGGGGATTTATTAGCTTATTAACATGGTTTTATCTTTACTGGAAAGCGAATGTGAACAATCGGGCTATCAGGACCAGAAAAAGCTTCTCAATTGAGGTCTCTCTTTTCTCTCTCTCTCTCTCTCTCTCTCTCTCTCTCTCTTTCAAACACACACACACGCACACACACATGCACACACATCCTCTCTTTGTGTGCGTGTGTGGAAGTGAGAAGGGAGGGCGATCCATTTGCTATGATCAATATCTACCCAAAATCATGATGGGTGGAAACTTACTTGTTCTCAAAAAATAAATTGAAAACACGAGATTAAGTGGTGGTTTGACAACAATTAATCAAAATAAATTACTACTCTCTTAATCCATAAAAATCACTGCCCTGTTTGTGATGTGATAAGTCACGTGACCTGGGTAAGAGCCAGGGGCGTGAAGCGGATGCTATGTATGACCATGTATGCGACGTGGGATGCAAGACATGGACTATCAAACTGGTTTGGATAGACTGACGTACCTGATACCGCGCCTTGTATCAAGGCCGGTGTCCGTCTCACTCTGTAACTAGCCCTGCTGGTGGTATCGATCAGAACGTTATTGACCCGTTGAAGATTGGCCAAAATGTACACTGAGATGGCGCTGATGGTTTCGTTGTCTGGGCTCGTCGTGTTCACCAGTACCGTGTAGTAGACGGCGAGTCCGTTATCGTTTCTGAAAATGTAGGAAAATTCCACCGGGTATGTAGTTTCAATAGAAACGTAGAAGGTCGTTTGTCAATAGTTTGAAAATACATTGACACTTTGACCCCATTCCCACAGATTTTAGATCGATCTATCCCTGTGGGGAGTCTCACTAGATAACTGTCAGCTTAGCCGGCTTGAGCGTCTGTCCCGCCTTCTAAAAGCTGTAAGGGGGTAATTAACTGTCGTGCGCGCTCGGCTGACTGCAAATTAGCGTGCACCCCCAGGGAGTTAGGTCGATCCGGATGGATCGATCTAATTCTCTGGGAATGCACTCTTTGATTTTAGACCTGTCGGGGGAAAATGAGATGCGTTTTAATATACAGATCTGCAACGAATTTAATGCATTTGTTTTAGGTTTATGAAATGTTGTAACACACAAGCATACAGCGCCAAATATAGACCTATGCTTGTCATCTGATTACATTACTTTAAAGAATCAGTGAGGTCAACATTTAAGATTATTTAGTTCACAAGTCACACAATGTGAGGTAAATTCAATATAATACAATGTAATACAATAAAAATATATATTTTGTGGTACCCGTTGTTTTATATACCCTAATATCTTCGATAAGCAAATTTTACAGGGCAACCCAATAAGTCTTGTCTTTTATGGATCTTTCTCACCATCAACTCCATTTGATCTAGGCTGCTACAAGTGCAAAATACTACAGTTTTATAGCTTAGAATTTGCATTCATAGACTTTATAATTGCCTGCACTACCAGCAGGAACAGCTCTATACAATAACTTACCTTATCTCAGTAATCTCTACCCGGTTGAAATCAGTGAAATTTGCATAGAACTCGTTCAACTGCAAGTTGCGAAATAATGCATTTTGAATATATTTGTAATGTTGTTCCGTGTTAGTTTGAACATTTAGAACTTTTTATTCTTATGCACAATAAATATCTAAAAAATGTCCATAGTCTATGGTTTAATTTTTATTTTCAATGGTTATCGATGATTATCTTGATAACAAAAGAGGCAAAAATGTTTAAACGTATCAGGCATTCAAAAATAAAACCAACTTTAATTAATTTCTGTTCCTTTTCTGCAAATGTCTTACCGTTCTCACTAACAAGGAATAATCCGTGCTTCCTGGCTGGTACCGAGAGGCGGAATACTCGTTGTCGAAATTCATTAACACTGAAATAAGAGAACAAGATATAGCAACCAAGTCGGCAATTGTGGTAGAAAAATAATCACCATATGATAGTAGATATAAATGAGTCTATCTTGACTCAATGGCATCCGAATTCGGGTCACATCAGTTAAAACATTGTCACATGCGACACTTGACCAGTGCTTGGTTTGTGTGCAACATGGTACCGCTTATAAGGCGTATTATTGCGGTGGAGAGAAACACGTGCATACCTTTACTTAAATTTGTACGACAATCTAGTCATAATCCCCTAAATAACTTATAGATAAATCGATGCAACTGCCATGTTTTAACGAATATAGTAACATATTGCAGTTTTGTTCAAGGGTATGTTTCCAAGGGTATCCATACCTTTAACTCCCTGTAATGGCCTACAAACAATTCCATCCCCGGTGAAGGCGTTTCTACAAGAGCAAGTGTAACTTCCGGGCGTGTTAGTACAGTCAGCATTGGGACTGCAGTCATGCGATGACGTGCATTCATTGATGTCAGTACACGCGAGTCCAGTTCCCTCAAAGCCCGGTTTACATTTACAAACGTAGGAGCCCTCCGTGTCCGTACATGTGGCGTCAGCATGGCAGGGCGAGGCAGTGCATTCGTTAATATTCGAGCATGTCCGACCGTCTCCTGTGTAGCCGGCGTCACACGCGCACTTGTAGGATCCCACCGTATTGGTGCACTGCGCGTTAGCGTGGCATTGGTTTGACGTTGAGCATTCGTCTATATCTAGAGAAAACACAAATGGTTGTATATATATATATATCCTTATATNAGTTTGTCCGTGAATTAGTGACATGAAATAGAAAGAAATAACACTAATTTTCCAATCTAAAGGAATTGACTTAAACACGCACATGAAAGTCTTTTTTAGAGATTATAATAATAATTTATCGTTAGTCGAGTCTAACTTCATTAAAGTGTGTTCTGTACAGACTTTGCAAATAAAATGCAAAATTAAAAATATTATTTAAATTAAAAATGTGTTAATTGTAAAGAGAAATATTTCTAATTATAACATTCAATAAAGTCTAAGTTGTTTAATCAAAATTATTCTAAAAAGATGAGTTTTTATTTTTTAGCAACTGCTGAGCTTATATTCCTTTGTTCTGATATCGATGTGAAGTATTCTTTCTCCAGTTACAATCTATAGACCGGGCATCGCATTTTATCTGCGCCAGGTCAGTGTGTCTGGTTCCTGGTAAAAACAGCCCATTGTTCTTACCTCCGTAGTTAACCTCCGTGTCACATGTGAACCCGTTTCCAAAGTATCCACTGTTACACGTGCAACTGAAACTCCCAATAGTATTGATACACGCTGCGGCAGTATGGCAGCCACCTCGGTTGAAGATGCATTCATCGATATCTGGAAATGAAAATGAATGGGGATTTATTAGCTTATTAACATGGTTTTATCTTTACTGGAAAGCGAATGTGAGCAATCGGGCCATCAGGACCAGAAAAAGCTTCTCAATTGAGGTCTCTCTTTTCTCTCTCTCTTTTTCAAACACACACCCACGCACACGCACATGCACAAACATCCTCTCTTTGACTGCGTGTGTGGAAGTGAGAAGGGAGGGCGATCCATTTGCTATGATCAATATCTACTCAAAATCATGATGGGTGGAAACTTACTTGTTCTCAAAAATAAATTGAAAACACAAGATTAAGTGGTGGTTTGACAACAATTAATCAAAATAAATTACTACTCTCTTAATCCATAAAAATCACTGCCCTGTTTGTGATGTGATAAGTCACGTGACCTGGGTAAGAGCCAGGGGCGTGAAGCGGATGCTATGTATGACCATGTATGCGACGTGGGATGCAAGACATGGACTATCAAACTGGTTTGGATAGACTGACGTACCTGATACCGCGCCTTGTATCAAGGCCGGTGTCTGTCTCACTCTGTAACTAGCCCTGCTGGTGGTATCGATCAGAACATTATTGACCCGTTGAAGATTGGCCAAAATGTACACTGAGATGGCGCTGATGGTTTCGTTGTCTGGGCTCGTCGTGTTCACCAGTACCGTGTAGTAGACGGCGAGGCCGTTATCGTTTCTGAAAATGTAGGAAAATTCCACCGGGTATGTAGTTTCAATAGAAGCGTAGAAGGTCGTTTGTCAATAGTTTGAAAATACATTGACACTTTGACCCCATTCCCACAGATTTTAGATCGATCTATCCCTGTGGGGAGTCTCACTAGATTACTGTCAGCTTAGCCGGCTTAAGCGTCTGTCCCGCCTTCTAAAAGCTGTAAGGGGGTAATTAACTGTCGTGCGCGCTCGACTGACTGCAAATTAGCGTGCACCCCCAGGGAGTTAGGTCGATCCGGATGGATAGATCTAAATCTCTGGGAATGCACTCTCTGATTTTAGACCTGTCGGGGGAGTAATGAGATGCGTTTTAATATACAGATCTGCAACGGATTTAATGCATTTGTTTTAGGTTTATGAAATGTTGTAACACACAAGCAGACGGCGCCAAATATAGACCTATGCTTGTCATCTGATTACATTATTTTAAAGAATCAGTGAGGTCAACATTTAAGATTATTTAGTTCACAAGTCACACAATGTGAGGTAAATTCAATATAATACAATGCAATACAATAAAAATATATATTTTGTGGTACCCGTTGTTTTATATACCCTAATATCTTCGATAAGCAAATTTTACAGGGCAACCCAATAAGTCTTGTCTTTTATGGATCTTTCTCACCATCAACTCTATTTGATCTAGGCTGCTACAAGTGCAAAATACTACAGTTTTATAGCTTAGAATTAGCATTCATAGACTTTATAATTGCCTGCACTACCAGCAGGAACAGCTCTATACAATAACTTACCTTATCTCAGTAATCTCTACCCGGTTGAAATCAGTGAAATTTGCATAGAACTCGTTCAACTGCAAGTTGCGAAATAATGCATTTTGAATATATTTGTAATGTTGTTCCGTGTTAGTTTGAACATTTAGAACTTTTTATTCTTATGCACAATAAATATCTAAAAAATGTCCATAGTCTATGGTTTAATTTTTATTTTCAATGGTTATCGATGATTATCTTGATAACAAAAGAGGCAAAAATGTTTAAACGTATCAGGCATTCAAAAATAAAACCAACTTTAATTAATTTCTGTTCCTTTTCTGCAAATGTCTTACCGTTCTCACTAACAAGGAATAATCCGTGCTTCCTGGCTGGTACCGAGAGGCGGAATACTCGTTGTCGAAATTCATTAACACTGAAATAAGAGAACAAGATATAGCAACCAAGTCGGCAATTGTGGTAGAAAAATAATCACCATATGATAGTAGATATAAATGAGTCTATCTTGACTCAATGGCATCAGAATTCGGGTCACATCAGTTAAAACATTGTCACATGCGACACTTGACCAGTGCTTGGTTTGTGTGCAACATGGTACCGCTTATAAGGCGTATTATTGCGGTGGAGAGAAACACGTGCAAACCTTTACTTAAATTTGTAAGACTATCTAGTCATAATCGCCTAAATAACTTATAGATAAATCGATGCAACTGCCATGTTTTAACGAATATAGTAACATATTGCAGTTTTGTTCAAGGGTATGTTTCCAAGGGTATCCATACCTTTAACTCCCTGTAATGGCCTACAAACAATTCCATCCCCAGTGAAGGCGTTTCTACACGAGCAAGTGTAACTTCCGGGCGTGTTAGTACAGTCAGCATTGGGACTGCAGTCATGCGATGACGTGCATTCATTGATATCAGTACACGCGAGTCCAGTTCCCTCAAAGCCCGGTTTACATTTACAAACGTAGGAGCCCTCCGTGTCCGTACATGTGGCGTCAGCATGGCAGGGCGAGGCAGTGCATTCGTTAATATTCGAGCATGTCCGACCGTCTCCAGTGTAGCCGGCGTCACACGCGCACGTGTAGGATCCCACCGTATTGGTGCACTGCGCGTTAGCGTGGCATTGGTTTGACGTTGAGCATTCGTCTATATCTAGAGAAAACACAAATGGTTGTATATATATATATCCTTTTTAATGAAAGCATGTACCTTTGTTGCCAAATGGTAACACATGCGTTATTTTAACCTAACTTAATTACAGGGTTGACGGGGAGTACACCTACTGCAGTCAAAAAGTATATGGGGCTTCTTTCCTGTAAATGATCAATGCACTTCTTTGAAAACTTTCAAGAATTCACCTTGCGTCGTTATTTAACATTATAAACACAATATCGAGTTGCAGATGGCATGATGCCATCATCAATGACTGTCCACGTACCTCTGCACGTTCTTTGGTCACTCTGATCCAACACAAAGCCCGTCCTGCAAGTACAGTTATAGCTGCCACCTAGGTTATTGCAGTCGCTCGTCGTGCGGTTACAGTTGTCTGCTCCCGTTGTGCATTCATTGATATCTGTGATTGTTAATACAAAAATAATAACTTGTAATATAAAACGAAGCATGCGAATCGTCCTGATAGTATACCTCAGGTTCTTATTATGACATTCATTGATATCTGTGATTGTTAATACAACGTAATATAAAAATGAAGCATATGGAACGTCTCAATACCTCGAGTCCTAATCATAACCACTGGAACATTGTGGTTTTTGCAATGGACAACAATTATATTTCACACTCAAACTCATTTCAAATTTTAATAAATACATAAAAAATAACAATAAACTTATTTTAGTTCTAAAATCCATTAAAAATACTCAGTAGACCAGGGGGACTTTAATAAAAATTAGCGAATCATTCAAGAATCGGTTTATTGGTGTTTTTTTACGGTCGTCATATCTCACCTTCACAAGCGCCACTGCTTCCAAGGAAATAGCCAGAGAGACAGTAACAAACAGGAATAGATGCATTGCACAGTCCTTGGTTACAGGTAAGGCCCGCGTTAACACATACAGTTAATGTTGCGTTGTTCACTGAAATGTAACAAATTAAACAAATGCTCATTGAAGAATCTCTTTTAATTCTGGTCTTTTTATAGATTATCGCTATGGTACTTATAAAATGGGCGTGAAAACTTGCTTGTGTTCAAGTCTATTTTATGAGAAACGTTAAAACTGATAACAGAATACATGTTTGCCAGTGGCGGATTTAGGGGGGGGGGGGGGGTCAGGGGTGTCCTGATCTCCCCTTCAATATCTGGTCCCCTCTTGTAATTAGAATTTTGACTAGCTGAATCATAGTTCTAAACCGTTCCAAATGGCACCGTTCGCCCTCTTAAATACCAAAAAATTACGGGGCCCTTCAGCGGGTCCCGAACCCCACGCCAAGTGGGGGTGGGGGTGGAGGGGGGGGGAGGGTCAGCTTCACATCCGCGGACCCCCACTTCAAATAATCCTGGATCCGCCCCTGTATGCTGATATAAAACATGTAGATCAAAATAAAACAATAATGGGCAATAATGTGTCAATGTCTGCCGTGCGTTGATCCTCACCTTGATTGCACGTAAATCCATCAAGAGCCAACTGATAGTCAGAATTGAAGCAGGAGCACGTGTAGCTCCCCACAGTGTTAGCACAGTCATGGTCACAGCGGTCTGTCTTCAAGGCACACTCGTCAACATCTGAAACATACAGTAATCAGCGTCATGCTTTCTGGCAGTTAGTTTCGGTTTCGTTTCTGATGACGACCTTATGGAGGGTACTGCATGTAGTAGCATATAAGGTACAGTCACAACAATATTTAACCTACTTGTATTTAAAATATGCAGTGATGTTGTTTGCATGGGTTAGGCCTGAAATTCCATTCTCACTATGGACTTGGTATTTTCTGTGAGCTATTCTGAATAATGTATTGCAAGAGGCCACCAGGATACATTTCAAACATTTTAAATTCTAAAAACAGGAATTTCACCAACGCTTGTTGTTATTTTTTGGTAACGCCAGTCATCAATTCAGTGATAAAAATCAAACTTGCATGCAACGTTCTTTTAAAATTCAGAAAAACGTATAATGTTAGCAAACATTTCTCAGACGGTATACAACTGTATATACCAATAGACCTTATTACCTTGACAGTGCGTATCATTGACCAATGTTTTTCCTGGATTGCAGCCACAGCTGAAGCCACCAGGCGTGTTAGTGCATGTCTCCTCGCAGTTCGTGCCCCCCTCAACACACTCATTTATATCTGTAAAATACACCTGTCTCGGTAAATAGTTCTAAAAGGTGTGTCATACCCCCCCCCCCCCCAGGAACTCTCAATTTCTTCTATCTAGTGACATACTAATAACTGAGGGAATAAAATGACATGCATTAAAAATTCTTGCGTTTATAACTACTACTACTACTACTACTACTACTACTACTACTACTACTACTACTACTAATACTACTACTAGCATTATTAACAATATTTTCATCTTAATCATCATTACTTTATATAGGCCTATCTTATATTTACCGGGCTTTGTAAATTACAATTATTTCAAGCATGTACTCGTACCGAAATAAATAAATAAATAAATAAATAAATAAATAAATAAATAAATAACATACCCAGACAAGAGCCAGTAGGGTCTGCTCTGTATCCTGTTTCGCATGCGCACGTGTACGATCCCCTGGTGTTATTGCAGATGGCGTTGGCACCACAGATGGTGGTGTTCTGCGCGCACTCGTCCACGTCGTTCTCACAGTTCGCCCCCTCCCAGCCGGCCACGCAGTCCGTACACCCTACAACTCGGTCACAGGTGTTTGCACGGGACCCGCAGCTGCACGTGTTGGCGCAGTTGGTGCCCCAGTGGATGCCGTCACATGCTGCAATGAGAATATTTCTTTGCATTTTTTAAACGGCCAAAATATACTGAACTTGTACAGGTACCTGTATATCCGAAAAGAGTTCCGTTTTTATGTTACGGGGGCTTTGCACAACGATATTAAACCAGAGTAGAGATTGAGCATGTAGTCAACAACCAGTCACTCAGCCAATCAATCGGTCAGTCAGTCAGTCAGTCAGTTAGACAGACGGTCGGTCACAGAATGATTCAGAAAAAAAAAAAACCAGTGCGTGTATATACGACTTGCATTATTCGAAAGGTGCGATATGCGCATGACCGGAATTGTGCACTGCAGGGGTCAAAATAGTACCGGAAGCGTTGTTGACAGCGATAGGAACACATGATGGAAGCATAAGACATGCCGGGGGCGATATTAAACAAGCCATTTGAGGCGACAACGATGCCGGAGTTGAAAAGTTGGTTAAAATGTAGGATGCCCACACATCAGGCAAAAAAGAAGAGCTGATAAAAAGGTATGTTACACGATATTTTCTTAAATACAAGACCAAATACAAAACCCTAATGTGGTCATTATGTAATTATGTTCACCTGAGTCATTTATTGGGGAGATAAATTTGTCACCTGGTTCAAGCAGTTATCTGATACAATCTCTGAGGTGGGCTAGTGCACTGTACAGGCAATTAGTACAAGCTCACTGTCAATATCAGTGCATCTATCATTTGTTCTTCTTCATTATCTTTCTGTTGTGTATCCAGGTAGATTTCGGTTAAAAAAATATGACTAGTCATGTCAATTTTCTGTTTTGTCATCAGTCTAATATGTATGTATGTAAATAAATCACTGTTACAGATGTGTTGATGATAATAATAATAATTAATAATAATAATTTATTTTTCTATGGCGCATTCCATTAAAAATCTCAATGCGCCTTACAACATTCACTTAAAAGAGCTAAATAACACAATACTAATATAAGAACACATTACAATTATAAAGGACTAAGAACTAATTTAAAGAACCAATTATTCATATTCTAAAATGATAAGAACCTAAAGTGACAACATTTAAAATTAATCATGACATTAATGATGACTTTAATAATTATTTTCATGACTTTTAAATTTTTTACTCGTTTTATANCTAAACCGTACCAAATGACACCGTTCGCCCTCTAAAATACCAAAAAATTACGGGGCCCTTCAGCGGGTCCCGAACCCCACGCCAAGTGGGGGTGGGGGGTTGGGGGGGGGGGGAGAGGGGGGTCAGCTTCACATCCGCGGACCCCCACTTCAAACAATCCTGGATCCGCCCCTGTATGCTGATATAAAACATGTAGATCAAAATAAAATAATAATGGGCAATAATGTGTCAATGTCTGCCGTGCGTTGATCCTCACCTTGATTGCACGTAAATCCATCAAGAGCCAACTGATAGTCAGAATTGAAGCAGGAGCACGTGTAGCTCCCCACAGTGTTAGCACAGTCGTGGTCACAGCGGTCTGTCTTCAAGGCACACTCGTCAACATCTGAAACATACAGTGAACAGCGGCTTCGTCATGCTTTCTGGCAGTTAGTTTCGGTTTCGTTTCTGATGACGACCTTATCGAGGGTACTGCATGTAGTAGCATATAAGATACAGTCACCACAATATTAAACCTACTTGTATTTAACAATATGCAGTGATGTTGTTTGCATGGGTTAAGCCTGAAATTCCATTCTCACTATGGCCTTTGTATTTTCTGTGAGCTATTCTGAATAATGTATTGCAAGAGACCACCAGGATATATTTCAAACATTTTAAATTCTATTTTTTTTTTGGTAACGCCAGTCATCAATTCAGTGATAAAAATCAAATTTGCATGCAACGTTCTTTTAAAATTCAGAAAAACGTATAATGTTAGCAAACATTTCTCAGACGGTATACAACTGTATATACCAATAGACCTTATTACCTTGACAGTGCGTATCATTGACCAATGTTTTTCCTGGATTGCAGCCACAGCTGAAGCCACCAGGCGTGTTAGTGCATGTCTCCTCGCAGTTCGTGCCCCCCTCAACACACTCATTTATATCTGTAAAATACACTTGTCTCGGTAAATAGTTCTAAAAGGTGTGTCATACCCCCCAGGAACTCTCAGTTTCTTTTATCTAGTGACATAATAATAACTGAGGGAATAAAATGACATGCATTAAAAATTCTTGCGTTTATAACTACTACCCCTACTACTACTACTACTACTACTACTACTACTACTACTACTACTACTACTACTAGCATTATTAACAATATTTTCATCTTAATCATCATTACTTTATATATATCTTATATTTACCGGGCTTTGTAAATTACAATTATTTCAGGCATGTACTCGTACCGAAATAAATAAATAAATAAATAAATAAATAAATAAATAACATACCCAGACAAGCGCCAGTAGGGTCTGCCCTATATCCTGTTTCGCATGCGCACGTGTACGATCCCCTGGTGTTATTGCAGATGGCGTTGGCACCACAGATGGTGGTGTTCTGCGCGCACTCGTCCACGTCGTTCTCACAGTTCGCCCCCTCCCAGCCGGCCACGCAGTCGGTACACCCTACAACCCGGTCACAGGTGTTTGCACGAGACCCACAACTGCACGTGTTAGCGCAGTTGGTGCCCCAGTGGATGCCGTCACATGCTGCAATGAGAATATTTCTTTGCATTTTTTAAACGGCCAAAATATACTGAACTTGTACAGGTACCTGTATATCCGAAAAGAGTTCCGTTTTTATGTTACGGGAGCTTTGCACAACGATATTACACCAGAGTAGAGATTGAGCATGTAGTCAACAACCAGTCACCCAGCCAATCAATCGGTCAGTCAGTCAGTCAGTTAGACAGACGGTCGGTCACAGAATGATTCAGAAAAAAACCAGTGCGTGTATACATATGCATATACATACCAGTACATGTGCGCATGTCACTCTCACGCTTAAATCCTACTGCACATGCACACTCGTATCCTCCAAGAGTGTTTTGACACGTGCTGTTTGCACTGCACAAATTACTGCCACTGCACTCGTCAATATCTGAAAGTAATGTCCCACATAGGTCAAATACTACATCACCGATTTCATATATAAAAATAGCTGTCGGATTAAAGGTTGACTGAACCATTTCTAAGATAAATCCAAAGGGCAATTATGATTCAACTGGATTTTAAATCGTAATTATATTTCGATTGCTCATACACTATACAATTCGCACTCTATTCCAACCTGTATTTTAGTGTGCAATGGGTTCGATGTTTTTCAGTAATACGGAGTGGTTTTTCGTCTTTATCATAAGTTTAAATTCATATGATCACTGCTTAATATTACTTGAATATTCAAGTAACGTGGACAAATCTTCCGGTACCAAAGCTGCCCGCCTCATGCACAGACTACTGTTTCGAACCAATAAGACGTGAAGGTTTGTACGACCTACCGTTACAAGTCACACTATCCGCCAGCAAGTCGTATCCAGGTGGACAGAAACAACCAGGTGACCCGTTGTTATTGTAACAAGTCGCAGGGGAGACACAAGAATGACCCGCACATACAGCAATGTCTAAAAACCAAAGGGTAGATAATTGAAATAACAATATGGTGCAATGTGACGGGGGAAGGGGGAATACCTGCGAATGAGTTGTTCTCATTAAATACAGTTTTAGTGTACATTCATGGTTAATATAATCGCACGTTATAACTATTAACTCTTAACTGTATCAGCATGTTTGTACCAGTAATAGAGTCGCTATCAGTGTATTATTATTATTAGTAAATCCCACCTCACGCGGCTTCTTGCACCTTTTTTATCTCGTTTAACTAACCACAGTGGCGATAGTCTCGTCAAATGCAATCTTGGATGACCCCTATGGCCCCGTTTGCACAATACGTTGTCTTACGTTGTCTTAAGAAGATTTGAATATTATGAACGTAGAACAACTCAGCATACCTGTAGCAGTGCAGTTTTTCCCGTCTGCATCTAGAGTGTACCCAGTTTGGCAAGAACAGGTGAAGCTTCCAATCGTATTGGTGCAGATCTGTTGGCAACCGTCAACACGGGCGGTACACTCGTCTGTATCTGCAAGAAACACACACAGACGTGCATGGAAGAAGACACTTCGCGGTATGGTATGAAAAGAAAATACCGACAACATAGAGGTATTCATATTTCAGGGAAAATGTCCATGGCATATTGGTGTGTGTGTGTGTGTGTGTGTGTGTGTGTGTGTGTGTGTGTGAGAGAGAGAGAGAAAGAGAGAGAAAGAGAAAGAAAGAGAGAGCCAAACATGATAGAATATTTAAAGGTCCCCCAAACAATTTGATCATAATATACTTATTAATATAGTTTCCGAATGCCATACATGTTTACAACCTATCTAAACTCACCAAACTCACAAAATTAGCGAAATAGAAATAAATAAGTACATAAATAAACAAATAGATAAACAAAACATATTTTAAAAACAAACAATAATAACTGAGTAGGAAATGAAGAAGAAATGGATAAAAACAAGAGGAAGACCTACTTACCGACGCACGTTTTAGCATCCGTATTTCTGAATCCAGAATGACAGGTGCACGTGTAGTCGCCATCGATGTTAACGCACGTTGAAATGGACGTGTTACACGTGTTCAGTGTCGCGTTAGAACACTCGTCAATGTCTGGGGAATTGTAAGAAAAACAAAACGCAATATCAGAATTCTTTTTCTCTCATTTCAACTTCAATAGTGTAAAAAGAATGATTTGCTTTATAAAAAGCATATATGATATATACATACAGTGAAATGTAGGCTACTTTGCACTCAAATAAAGATACATTACGTATGTTGAACTTGATAGCAGCATTAAATTTTAATCGCATTATAATTGCAATAAATTTTGAAGAAAAAACAATGAGGCCTACAACTAACGTGAACGTTGTAACAACTCAGTGGCAGCAAACACTTTATTTGATACACTGTGTACAGAATTAATCTGTATACATGTACATGAACATACGCAAAAAGATGCCTACATTAACATAAATACTGAGCAATTAGCCTAAAATTTCAATGTGACTATGGAAATTTCTGATCGAAAACGTGCAGTAAGAATCTCTTTTGTCGTCTTATCACTAACAGTTGTGTCCGTGGGGTTATCATGCAAATACCTATGCATTTCAACCCGAGTATGAAATACCCGGATGGACAGAGGCATCTAAAAGACACTCCCTGCGTCTCCTCCTCGCTAGGGGTCAGGTCAGTGCAATTTCCGGTTGGAGGGCATGGGTTGTCTGCGCAGCCGTCAATTTCTGACTCGCAGTCCACGCCTAAAATGTAATGACACAAAGTTATGTATTCTTGATTATTTTTTTACCAGTGCTGTTATTGTAAAAGCTTGTACCAGTTATAATGCTGTTTAATTTTGTGTTATCATAGTAGAACACAGCACATACAGGTAACCTAATGCTGTGTTATAAGGTAAAAATAAATCATTTCTATGTAAATTAGATTGGGTATTGATATTAAATTGACCAAATTAAGTCTTAATACAACTTTTACCCAATTTCTAAGCATTTCAAAACATGCCACAAAGACGAATATGATTATTTCTCGGGTATGCCTTATTATCCGTGGAATCTGCCGAGGTAATCTAACTGACTGAAGAAAGTACGAAGGAACGGATAAAGGCAAAGGTGTATTTAGAAAAAAAAGTACCACATAAAACACACCTGTGTAGCCCACTGAACAATTGCAGTTAACCAAACGGATGGAGCTGTCGACATTTTGGCCGTCACGGAGTTGGTCGAAGTTACACGAACCTTGGCCACTGCAACCGGAACAAAGGTCAACCGTTGGGGTCCAAGTGGTGGATCCTCCCCTGCCATCGGTTAACTGAACCCTTCATTAAAGTAATATAACACGATATATACTATTTAGAATGGTTCTATGTGATAACTAATGCAAGCAGTGCACGTAATGGAAACGGACGCAGAGAGTCAATGCAAAAAATGGAAACACCAATGTTTTTAAAAAATAGAAAACTTTCATCACTGAACTTTTTTCATAGCGAACTAGAGGATCAGAGAGGCGATACCGCCTCCGAATATTGTACCACCAGCTGGAGCAAGCGCATTCGTATAGACCCCCACATACACAAAATAAGGGACACAGTCACCAGTCTTGTGCTTGACAAACTGTAAACATGCAATCAACAAGAATTTTCAATATATGCAAAAAATATATGAAACTAAAAATGGTACAATCAAATTTAAGTTCATCGTAAGGTAGGTGAAAGGTCATTTTCAAGGTCACAGTAAATTGCCAGTATATGACTTCCTATTCAAGTTCAATAGTAACTATGGACCTATCTCTGCCAGGTTTGGAGTTAAAAGAGAAAGAAATTAGCAGAGTTCAGTTCAAGATAATAAGTAGATCAAAGGTCAATTTCAAGGTCACACTTAGATTGCCAGTATATGACTTCCTATTCAAGTTCAATAGTAACTATGGACCTATCTCTGCCAGTTTT